AAAAATTTAAAACATTAAGGATTTTCAAAATATTGTAATTTTTTATTTTTGGGTGTCAAGTACGTTCTTGCCCTACGATTTCGGGCCAAGTGCGTACTCGTCAATGTTTTAGCTTACATGTACCAATCTATAAACGGGGCAAGAGCAATAATCTCAATGAAATGTTTACTTTCAAATCAAATTAAAATAAAACGTACAAAAAAATAGAGGAGCTATAAACTTTTTAAATTTTAATAGTACACATTCAAACTCAAGAAAATTACACAAAAATGCTTGAAAGCAAATTACCTTAAAAAATCTTTAGAAAATATGAAATATGAAATATTTCTACTGTTCTGATATGGTAGCAATTTGAGTTGTTCTAGTTTTTGAATAATATCGGACAATATAATTTGTCTTGTTCCTCGAGCCCATGGTTTTCGCATTTTAGGTAAACATGTTACTTCAGCTTCATCATCAGAGATTTTGGTTATAAGGCACACATATTTGTAACTTTTCCCTTTTCCAAAAAAGTTAGCTGGATTTTATAAAAATCAGTTTCCCGTGATGTAGAAACATTCTTTTCAATAGGTGATGGATGATGTGGTTTGGTCAACTTCAGGATCTTCAGGCTCTGATATTTCATCAAACTCAGTTATTCCGTCTTCACTTTGATCACTTTTCCAAGATATAATGTCGCTTCCTTCTGAGTCACTTTTATCGGCAACTTTGTCACTTTGTTGAAGGCTTCGTTTTGACATCTGTTTTTTCTCGAAATTCTAACACATCTTTGTTTGTTATAGTTATTACTTCTGCCCCTAAACAAACAGGTTTTCTGGGTTTTTTTATGGGAACTTGATCTCGTTTTAACGATTTTAAAGTACTGCCTTGAACTTTCATACGATCTTCTCTTTCTTGTACAATATTTTTATATTGTCCTGTTATAGAGGAACCCAAAGGAACCAAATCATCGGCTTGTATTTGTTGAGACGTTGGAGATATAGTGCCATTAGAGTCCTTGTGAGGACACTCTGTATTTGTAAAGATTCCCTTTTTTTTAAAGCAGTCGGATCATAAATTTCTCGAGGGATTACATTCCGGTTTACTGGACAAATATCGGTTTTATTGAAACCATTTACTAATATTTCAGGTTTTGTTTCGGTCCATATCTCGCTGATGAGCTTGGAAAAATATACTCTTGGGAATTTTAACGCCTACATTTTTGCATTGTCAGTCTACTAACTTAGCGTCCCATCGACTTTTTAATGATTTAAATACACTTAAGTCCAGAGGCTGCAATATTTGGCTCGTATGTGAAGGCAGTTTCAATGTAGGTATGTCGTTTAAAAATGTGGCGTGCCCGTCATATATAACTAATACTGGACGTTCGGGAGATAAAATGTACTTATTATTTATATATATTTTCCAAGCATTGTAGATCCAGAAAAGGTATGTATTCGGTTTTTATTTATTTATTTTTTATTTTCTTTATCTGGTTAGTTTGCTAATATCACAACTTCTAAATAGGAAATGTAATTAAACTGCAATTATTGGTTTGATAACAGTATTGGCATATTATGGTCTGTGAATGTCATCCGTTTCTAAACATTTACCAATAAATATTTGAATTTTTCTAGTAACTGTATAGAATTTCCTCCAATTTCCTATATTGTTTATCCAAAAACAGCATATAGTTATTACTTTTCAGCATATATTTTGTTTTATTTGTGTTGATTTTTAACACATGATTGCAATACCATTTATAAACATTTTGCAGAGTTTCATTAACAAACTCTTACTAAGTTATCTGAATTCTTACAACTTAGGAAACATAGATAAAGACATCATCAGCAAACAGGTAAATGTCATATTGACCCTTGTGACAACAACAATGTCATTGATATAAATTAAAAATAACAGAAGACCTAATTTTCTTCTGTGTAACACCTAACACCACTCGGCACATTACATATAGAATAGAGAGATACATTACATTACAATCACTGTCTGTCGAACGAAGATAGACGTCTCGATAGGAGACATATCGAAAGATGAGAACCACACTACATTAATTATTTAATTTTAACCTCCTGTTACTTAGATAATCTAAACGCTACTCCAATGCATGCTTTATACCATAGATATAGAAAATCACCTTTATACGCATACTTTTTAATATTTTTATCAAACAGTTTTGATTAACAGAATCAAATGTATTTTCTAGAAATATAATTTTTAATAGTACATAATATGGAGGGTTGTACAATAGGCAGTTAAAATGAAGACTTAGTTTAAACTATGAACCTCGTTGTATACTCATCGGTTATTGTTAAATATAGTTATAAAAATGACATTTGTTTTTTTAATATGTATAACCAGTTAAAAATAAAACTTGTCTTAGCAAAACTGAGTTTACAACATTCTTTATACAACCCGCCCATAATGTGTTTTGTAATAACTAGAAATCTATATACGTACCGATAATTGGCGCTACTTGCACACCACTTGGTAATTTGTCCACTATATGTATTTTTTATTTCTTTATTTTTTTTATTTTATGTTTGGTTTATTGTTTTTTATCGTTGGCTTTCTATTGTTACAGGTAAATAGAGATTAAAAATGGTTCGCACTTACTGAAAAACTCCGGGAGCAAGAACTTGCCGAAATGATTCAGAGAGGACCATGCGCGAAGCGATAGATGCAGAAAATGCGGTCATGTCGAGAAAACAAGCTGCTCAAACTTTCAAAGTAGAACGGACTGCGTTAGATAAAAGACTTGTCGGTGCACACTCGAAACCAGTTGGTCGTCCAAAGGCTTTAAATGATCAAGAAGAGGCTCTCATTTCAAGAACATAGGGTGTTTCCTCTCACAAAGATTAAAAAAATTCTTTAACAAACAAGAAAAAATGTTCGAATATTCAAAAATAACTTCCCTGGACTTGATTTCTTAGAATTATTTATAAAAAGGAACCGTTTAAGCGTCAGAATGGCTTCAAACTTAAAGAGATCCAGAACATCGTGGATCCTGATGATATCTTAAATTTCTTTAACAATATTGACCTAGCAATTAGAGAAGTGAAAAGGGCAAAATTATATAACTATGACGAGATGAACGTGACTGACGATCCTGGCTCTAGGAAGGTGGTGGTGCCGAGGAACACGAAGAGAGTGGAAAGAGTTCAGGAGCATTCCTGCGCTGCCATCAGTTTAATGGTTTGTGGAAATGCTAATGGAGACCTTTTACCACCGATGGTTGTATACAAGGCTTTGAATCTTTACGACAACTGGACCCAAGGTAGACTACGAGGAACAAAATATGCGAGCAGCTCGAGCGGATGGTTCGACATGAACTTATTCAAAACGGGGTTCTTCCAGCTTTTCCTGCCTCACGTCGAATCCACCAGAGAAAATAAGGGTGATAGAGGCATGTGGTATAAATAATATTTACATAACTCCCTTCCCGGCCAATGCCACACATTTTATGCAGCCCGTTGACGTGGCTGTATTCGCCCCGATGAAGAAAAAATGGAGAAAGATTCTCCATCAGTAGAGAAAGGAGTCTCGTTACCAAGGCTGTATCCCGAAAGAGAAATTTCCAAACCTACTGAACAGATTGTGGAAAGGAATCTCAAATCAGGATTTAGAGCAACTGGTTTGCATCCTGCGAATCCTGACGAAGTTTTGAAGCGCATTTCTGGTATAGTAGAAGATGCTGACGTCGAAAGAGTCTTAGACAACAGCTTGATTGATTTGCTGAAAGAGCACCGTGGAACAGGGGTTGAGAAAAACGTAAAAGGGGAAAAAAGTCAAACCTGGAACTGATGCGTCTCACACTGTTACAGATCCTGAAGTTTTTGAAAATCCTCCAAACGTTTCTGAGGAACCTCCAACTACAGCTGACGAACTGGGACCCTCTTCATCCAGTATTTTGCCATACACACAGCAACTTCCTACTAGGGAGAGCAAGAGGGAAAGGAAGAGCTAGTCCCAATGTAGGATCTGCAGGATTAATTGGAAATACTACAGAGGCACAATAGATTGGATCCAATGCACGAAATGTCGCGCATGGATTTGTAGACCCTGAAAAAGAGCAACGACCCTTATTTTTAGTGTGAACGATGTGAGGATTCGGAAGACAATGAATCTCCCTTTGATGACAGTGATACCAACAAGGACTTCCAACTGAATGGTTAACCAATGTTTCTTTTTTGTTAAAATTGTGATTTTTTTAAAGAATGTGCCTTATTAGTAGGAGAATATTTTATTATTTTTTTACAACTACGAGTAGTTATTAACATTTATACAGAATTTGTTATTGAGTTTCATGTATTTTAATGAAAGAATATATTTTTTCTTAAAAAATATTGATTTTTAATCAGTTTCGAAGGCGCTGGTTATAAAACAGGTTCCCGTTCTTTCTTTCTTCATTCGACTACGGGGTAACATACACAGAATACGCTTTAGCATGCATTTTGCGAGCATTTTTCCATGGGTTTGCAAGTTGCCCCAAATACGGGGTAATTTTCACACCCCAAAAACAATTTTTTTTGGGACCCTTGGCTGGAATTTTTTAGTTTTTACACCAGCCATGGATAGCCCTTGAATAGGTCGGAACAATGTAATTTTTAGGAATCTGAAAAAAATACAACGCACGATAAATGTGCTGAAACGGTGTTCAAGTAGACCCAATTTACGGTACCTATTATTTGAATTTTTTCAGTAATACTTTTCCTGTAACTTCTGAACTATGTTTTATTATATTTTTAGTTGTAAACAAGAATCTGATGAGTACCTAAATATACAAAGGGTCCTGTAAATATACCAACAAACTTTTAAGGTTTTAAGGACATCAAAATAAACTTTTTTTGCTTAATAAATATGTGCTTCAAAAACGAAGTATTTTTGGACATATTATTATGTTCATTAAGCAAATAATATTTATTTTGATGCACATACCACCTTTAAAAGTTTATATAATTCCTAAAGAAAAATGTTTTTGGAATAAATTCTGAATTCTATTTATTGATATTTGTTATTTTTTAGGTTCAATAACTCAATTGAAACATGATGATCAGCCATACCAAGGAATATCCTTGATACTTAAAAGGAAGGTATGGTATTAAGCAGATTGATGCCACGTCACATTGTGGTGCGAAGATATGGCTTGTACGAATTTGAGGTGGGTCGCGGAATTTTGTTCGAAAATTTTTGTTCGAATCTTTTTGTTCGAAGTAATAAATTCATTTTTTAAATAACATAATTCTTAAGAATTCTTTTGTTTTTCAGTTTTAGCTTTTCTCCATTTACATAATAATCTTGTCACGAATTTTAATGTTTTGTACAAAGAATAAATCGACACAACTGAAATTATTAAGACAAATCCCATCACGTCTAAAAGTAGATACTGATAAAGTGGTAAATCGATGTTAGGATGCCAAAAATGTCTTGCTCCTTTGTGTCTGATAACATATTCAGTCCACCATATTGCTTTTTCCAGGCTGGACATTGGTTCATCTAATAACAAATTTGCTGTTTCTCTTACTCTCTCGCGGTAACTAAAAATAAAAAATATAAAGCTTATTGTTGGTGGAAAACCAAGAGGGATTAATGGAAATAAAATATATAATTTCACGAGCTTATGTACTCAGAACTCGATTTTTACGGCACTTATATTTGATAACGTCTCAAAATGCACAACTTCGAGTATTATACACTCACCGGCAGAATTAACCGCCCACCCAATTATTTTTATTTCTGAAATTTTCAAAAGCGGTTTTTCTTTTATTTTCTAACATTAAACAAAAACTTTCATTTGATTGGTATTTATTTGCTTTTTAAAGATGTACTTTGACATTAAAAAGTAAAAAAAAAATCAAAATTACAAATATCTCCAACTAAATAACAAAAAATTGGGTGGGCGGTTAATTCTGCCGGTGAGTGTATATTAAGATCCAAGTGATTACCTCGAAAAATCGAAGAAAACTTTCGTACTGTAAGCTCGCATTAATTTTTACAGAATTTGTAAAATAAATTTACCTGTCATTTTTGATAACCTCCAATATAGAACGTTTCAAAATCTCTTTCGTCATTGTATCCTTATCAATTTCAATACCAAGTCCGCGATCAGAAATTTTACGTGCATTCATTTTTTGATCACTGACATACGGTATGGCCAAGAGAGGAACCTCTGCTAAAATTGATTCTTCCAGTGATTGGGCACCGCATTGGGTTATGAAGAGTTTAACGTTTTTATGTCCTAAAAAATAATAATGAAAGGTTAGCTAATTTTAGGGACAATCAAAGCGATCGGTTAAGCTAATCCATTCGCAAGTCTTAGGTCCTAAAGTAGTTGACATGATTTAAATACATTTTTAGTTCTGTACCCGAAGGGTAACAGACGGGGCCCTAATACCATCGTACATAAAAAGACGAACGATGCGTGCGTGCGTGCGTGCGTCTGTTTGTTAGCGGGTTGTATATCATGATCCGTAATGGGTAGACAGTTACAATTTTCAGAGACTACTCGTTGGTCCATAGCACTTCCGCCAGCATCAACGACGTTCGAGGTCTGGCATCTGTTTCCCGGTAAAAGTTGGGTCGATTACCAGAATTTCAAGGTCAGTTACCAGCCCCTGGAAAAGCCTTGAAAATTCAAGATGGATTTCGTTACCATTTCTATTTGGTAACAAAGAACACCTTACGAGATCGATTCACTTATCATGGTATATGGGAAGCATTACTTAGTCTGAGGGAGCACGAACTGGAGTCCAATATATAAAAAATAGCCATGCCAAAGATAGAGAGCAACCAGCTGAATTGGAGGATTATTAGAAACAGTTAAAGATACAACCATTTAGTTTTAGTTCCAGGAGGAATGTTACGCGAAATTAATTTCAAATTTATTTTTAACAACTTCTCCATAATCCCTTGTAACACAAGTTGAACGACGACCGGTCGCTTCTTGATTTTTGCAAAAGCACGGCTTGCGCGCCAATCCCTCATGTTTCTTCTACATTTACGCTAGTGATCTATAAAACACCGTTGCTGTCTCCTAGATTTTTCTTTTAGTGTATCGAATTCAACGTGCTAGCTTGTGCCGATAAATGTATTAAATTAGTTGCTAGTAATTATTTGTCTTTTGTGTTTATTGTGTGTTAACGTTGGGATAACTGTCAGGTAAGGTTTCTATCGCCTTATATTATTCACATTTTGCTGGATTTCGTTGGACAACCGAAAAGATTTGCTTCTTTTATTACCACCATGCCGACAAATGCCGGTTTATTATTACTGCTCTATTTTATTTTATATAGATTATAGCTACCCTAACTAATAATATTTTTAAGCTTTTTTTTTTGATACTTTGATATATACGCGGGGAGGCAACTAAATAATTGAATTACAAGTCAGTTTGGAAATACAGTTTAAAAGGAAATTTATGGCTCTTAACTTATTTTGGCCTTATAACTATTTTATATTTTTTTCAGATGATGTAAAACTTATTGTTATAACTTATTTTGGCCTTATAAATATTTTTTCTACACCCGTATTATAATAATGCACTTATATGCCCATAATCCGTTTCATAATGATACCCATTATGATACAGATTTTTCATTACGATACAGATTTTTAATCAATAGAAACCTACAATTTTTCAATCAAGCATGCTGTTTGACGTTTGTCCTAGGTTCCTATGTAATTATTTTAGTTGTCAAAACGTATTAAATTTTCGTAGGTAGCTAAACTTCGATAATTATAATATTAAAATGTCTGATATTAGCGATATAGAAGACTCCTCCACACATATCGGAGAAAGCAGAAAATACAGTACAAAATATTTTACCGCAAAAATCTAGGGAAATACCAATACCTGAAGTAATACCATTAATTACAATTTTGTAGAATTTTTTATAGAAATACGAGTAATTACTGTTATTGTGTTCAATACCAATATAAATATAATATTTATAGGTCTTGATTATTTATCGGGTGTAGAAAAAATAGCGTATGCAACTCTCATGTAATGGTTATTAAAACACTCGCATAAACCATACGAAACTCGCCTTTGGCTCGTTTCGTATCCCGGTTAATGCTCGTGTATTAATAACCATCATTACATGATCGTTGCATAATATACTATTATATTCTGTTCAGATGATGTAACTTTAGTATTTGTCGTGATATTTTATATTCTGTTCAGACGATGTAACTTTAATATTTGTCCCGTTTATGCATAAATCCGTTAGATTTCCAAACTGGCATGTATATGTACTTTTACACACGGTACTGAGGTTCTTTTTATTTCTAAACCTGTAGTGGCTCCAAGTTAACCAAGAAGCTCCAAGTTATCCAAGAAGCTTCAAGAAGTCAAGAAGCTCCTAGTTGCTCCTAGAAGCTGTGAGTAACAGGAAGTACCGAGTTACGTAGTTGCTCCAGGAAGCTCTAAGATCTAAGCTCTGAGAAACAGGAAGTACCGAGTTACGTAGTTGCTTCAGGAAGCTCTAAGATCTAAGCTCTAAGAAACAAGAAGTCCGAGTTACGTAGTTTCTCCAAGTTCCAAGCTCCAAGTTCCGAGCTCCAAGCCCCAAGTATCGAAGTACCTAAAGGCGGATTGTCCACGACACGACATACAAAAGGGAAGTACCGTACTTACCGTACTAGAATGCCACATGGTCGGGACAATTAATAATTATCTAATTATCTAATAGTAAATTTTATTCATTCAAATAAACTATCATTCAATTTTAATTCATTTTCTATTCAGATTTAATCACTAACTATTAATTTATTATATGTAACATTTCACTCTTTTTACTTTTTTTATTAAATGTATTAAATTTTTTCACCTTTCTTTTGATTGCCGGAACTCATACAGATAACTTTAAGTACCAGATACTGACTCAATTAAACAGGACATATCAAATCAGATAAGTTTTCCAAGTTACTCAAAAACTTGGTGGGGCTTAACATTTTTTGTCGTTATCGTATTATAATATCTTTCACTATATCGTAAAGTAGACTTTGGCCCGCGAACTGGTCAAGCTACTCTGATTTCATTTGTCCTGGTCAATTTATGAATTCACGCAGTATCAGCAATTTGAGCTAAATCACCTCTAAAGTACAATCTAAAAGAAGGAGTATCTCTTAAGGAGGGGACAATGCCGTGCAACCGGTCCAGCCCTGTTCTTTGTTGACCTTCAAGACTGCCGTTACCGCTGACGATCGAGAATCGACTGGCATGTTCTTTGTACGCAGCTTGACGCGTGGATGAAGGATTTCATGAAAGAATCGAGATTCTTCTAGTCAGGATTGGATTTTTTCCAGGCTGTTACATTTTTGTATACAAGTGGATTCTTTTGCCGAACTAAGTTAAGTTTTAAAATAAATGTTGTCAAATTCAGGAATAAATTATGTTTTAAAATAAATAAAAGATAAATTGTTAAATAAAGGAAGTGTGAAATATAAATAGTGCTTGAGTATAAATAAATTATAAATAAACTGTTTTAAATAAATAAATCAATTTTAAAATAAACAAATTTTACAATATGATAAAAAGGTGTCTCCCTTGTTATAAAAATTGACCTATTAAAATGTAAAAAAATATAAATAGTACTACAATATTAATAGTTTTACTAATTATGAAGATTAACTAATTATTAATAATATTTAAAAAAGTATCTAATGAAATTATTTAATTTTTTAATATTTTTTTTTGTAACTATTTGTCAAATGTGTTCCTTTTAGGTCTGATGATAGTCACCGATAACCGAATCGTTGTTGTCCAACAACAATTAATTTTTATTATAGTAAAGAGTTTTCGTCTTTTTTTTATTTTAATAAATCCAAAAATATTACTTAAGTAGTTAATATATACAGGGTGAGTCAGGAGGAACGCAAAAATAATGTAAAACTCTTTTTATCCGATTTCTTTTTCAAATTATGGCTTAATTCAAAATTTAGTGTTCTACTTGTATCCAAATTTCATTTAAGGTAATTTCGAAAAGCATTTGATAAGGTTGTTGTTTTGACAAAGTGTCATTGAATTGGGGCAGTTATCGAAAGTTATTTTTCTAGTTAGTACGATTAAAGTGTTATAAAATGCCAATCACTTATTCACATTTAGAAGTTACAAATGTGGTATTTGTTTATGTTTTTTTTTTTTTAATGAGAATGCTAGAGATTGCTGTTGAAGAATATCGTCAACGGTATCCAGGACAGAGGCATCCTAGTATAACAGTATGCATTTTTTAAATTTCTTATGTTATTATGCTACAACTTGAAAATAAATTAAAATCGGATAAGAACATATGTGCCATTCCTCTCAATTCACCCTATATATTAAATCTTAAAGATGTCCCCTTAATTTACTTACTTAAGACGTCTTGTTGAGGCAGCCATCTAAAAATTTTTATATTACTGGATTTTTCAGTTATGTCCATATCTAATTTCCAAATAATTTTGTAAGGAAGCTCTTTGAATACATCGGCAGCAATTTTTAAAAATCCTTCAGAAATGTGATTTCTTCTCACATTTGTACCCAAACTAAAATAAATCGCTCCCTCTGAAGCGCTATCCAAAAATTCTTTAATTTCCTGAAAACATATTTTATATAAAAATATCAGTTTTTGAACCTAATACTGTATCTAATACAATTAACAGAGTTTTGCAAAATAACTTCGTGAATAATAAAATAATATATTATACATATAGAGTGGCCCATTAAAAATAAAAAATAGTATAGGCCAGTGGTTCTCAAACTTTTTTGGCGACGGAAACTTTTTGTAAAGCGAAATATTTGATGGAGCCCTAAACACATTTCTAAAAAAAAGTCCTCAAGCCAAGTTCCTTCCTCTCGAAGCGATAATACTACTTTTTTTTATTATGACTATTATTTTCTTCGCAGAGCCCCCACCAAGACTTTGCGGAGCCCCAGGGCTCTGCAAACCACACTTTGAGTAACGCTGGTATAAACAGTATTTTTACTAAATATCGTACCGTAAAGCGGGGTTACTTTGCATTTATATGGGTAACTTTGCACCAATGCTGTAAAAGTATGTTTCTGTCAAACACGCAATCTATTTTATTTTATTGCTCCGGCAACCCTAGGCGAGTTCGGTCAGTCAGGGGCTGGAGCGGGACAAATTTTAGGGTGCTTTTAAATGACATTTAAGCGTGTTAAACTGTCACTAATCGGACTAAACCTAACGCTAAAAGGGTCGTTTGGAGTTAAAAGTGTTAAAGGAACTTGGCAGACCGAACGCAATGCCTGCCTACCGATATTTAAATACTCCAATACGTCATACTAACCGATATGACATCGTGTAATAGCATCAGTCTTTTGTCATTTTCCCCGCCAATTATAACCTTAAAAATTTGACGTTTTAGAGCTGTGCAAAATCTTATAAGGCAATCCAGCGACCTGTCAAATGAAATTCAATATGGCCGTTGAGGGCAAACAGTTGATTTGTTGACATTGTTTGTTATAGGTTTATAAAAATTTGTCTTGCTTTTAAAAATCGATTTTGCGAATAAAACTTATATCTTTTGAAAATGGAAAGTGAATACTTAAGAAAATTGTTAATAGAATATCCAGATGTAGGCGACAGGTTAGTATAAAATATTGTTTGTATACAATTTCAAGGATACATTTTTGTTATAGGTATAAACTTAAGTTAAAGTTGATTTGTGGCTTGGACCCATTTACTATTAGTGAATCACAACTGGATTACACTGTCACTGGAATCCCCCCTGTGAGTACTTTGGACATTGTGGCTTATTTAGTTTTAACCCATAGTTACTACACTATACAACAAATGAAGGCATTGAAGAGTTTACAAGCCTATAAATATTTTGAATCGGGATTTGTTTTAAAAGCTGGTACCAAAATGTTCAACAATTTCTTTGTTCTGGTTGGAAAAGTGAAACATTCACAAAAAAGTGAAAAGCCTCTAAGTACCTGGTGTATAATTGCGAGTGATGGAAGCATTTCAACAGCCCATTGTACATGTATGGCAGGAAACAGCGAAGTATGCAGTCATGTTGGTGCTATTTTATTTGCAGCAGAATATGCAAATAATAAAAAAGTATCAATATCTTGCACTGATGTTTTAGCTACTTGGCCAATGCCTTCCACTTCTGCGAAAGTTCCTGTGGTTCCAATTCATGAAATGAATTGGGGAAAACACCAAGATTTTGAAAGTAAAAGTAATGCAAAGCCGTTGTCTTCAGATGAAGTTAAGGACATGCTAGATATTATTTCAAATTTAGGTCTGACATCTGTTATGATGAGAGTAGAAGAACCTTTTGCAACAAAAATGCAGGAAGAAAGGCTAAAAAAGTTGCCTTCAATTTTTGATATATATCAAGAAATATATATGTCAAAAAGCCATTTAGAATTGATGGAACTATCAAAAAAAATTATTTTAAATATTGATCAACAAACTATTATTGATATCGAGAGTGCAACCAGAAAGCAAAATGCTGTTGATCTGTGGTATGCCCAAAGAGCAGGCAGGATAACTGCATCAAAATTTAAATCAGTCTGCAGGACAAGTACAAAGAAACCATCTTTGTCCTTAATCAAAATGGTGTGCTACCCCATGAAAATTACATTAAGGACTAAAGCAATTTCTTGGGGCCTAAGTCATGAAAAAGATGCAGTTGCAAAATATACAAAACAAATGGAAACAACTCATAAATCTTTTATTGCAAATGAAGTTGGATTGTTAGTGAGTGAGATGTGGCCACAGTTTGGTGCTTCGCCTGATAGATTAGTATATTGTGAATGTTGTTTAGGAGGATGTTTGGAAGTGAAATGTCCATATAGTTTAATTACCGAAGACATACAAAATATTAGGGATTATGTGAACATAAAAAGTTCTTGTCTTGTAGTAATAGATAACAAAATTACTTTAAATAGAAACCATAGTTACTATTTTCAAGTCCAAATGCAAATTTTTGTGTCAAACTTACGGTATTGTGATTTTGTTATATGGAGTCCAAAAGTGTTTTATATGGAAAGGATTCTACCAGATCATGGTTTCTGGGAAAATGAAAGTAAAACGGCTTTGAAATTTCATTCTCAAATTGTAATGCCAGAGCTGTTAGGCAAGTGTTTTACCACAAACATGGGTGCCACTGAACTTTTTGCTTGGTGTATTTGCAATGATATAGATGATGGCAGGCCAATGATTCAATGTAATAATGACGATTGTGAAAGAACATGGTTTCATTTTGAGTGTGTAGGACTTACAAATACACCGAGTACAATGTGGTATTGTGAAATATGCAATAAATAAAGTTAAGATTTTTCTGAAATTTTGAATCCTTTCCATATAAAATTTTTGTAAAACTGCTTGTAAATATATATTTATTAAAACTACATATTAAGGGCCACAACGCAGTCCCTTGTAATTAACATTTCCACTATAAATTAATTTTGTGAGATTCTCGTTTTAAACATTTCACTCCATCTACTGTATAGGGGAAGTTTAACAGTTTCTAAACATAACATGGGTAAATATTAGTCCTATTATAGAGTAAAATGGATTGTTCTATGCACTTGATTCGTTTTTGATTTCTCCTGAAAAATGTTGATTTTGCGACTTGTGGCCCTTGACATGTAATATTTTAATTCCTTTTAACTGTAGTTGTAATTTGTATCTTTGTTTTTATTTTTAAGTGTATATATAGGTATATTAATTTTAAGTATTTTTAAATATTTTTTTGTCAAAGTATTTAATATTCTAATAAATATGGACAAAATACAGTATTTATCTTTTTAATTATAGAAAATATGGGTTAAGAAAACACATCATATGATTTGCACTTCATTAAGCAATAACGAATTAAGGGACCAAATTCAAAAATCGAGTAAATGATTTAATAATCAATTAAACTTATATTAATTACATTTCTTTTTAGTTAAAATCCACTATTTTACTAAACAAAGTTCTAAGTTATTCAACTATGACTTTGTGTCAATTTCACAAAATTAAAAAGATTTCTATTCCTATCCCTTAATTCACAATTACCTAACAGGGTCCATTTATTTATAAGTATATAATAACTTTTTTTTTAGTAGTACCTTTATTATAAATTTCCAATTGCATTTTAATTATTAATATTGAAGTTTGTAAAACTATTTCATATATTTATATTAAAATTTTCCAAAAAGCTTCTAATCTTTTTATTAAAATTCAAAGCTGATCAGCATTTGTTATCAGTAACTAATAAAAATATTCAATAAAAAAATAAGGATTATTTTATTATATTAGAAAAAATACATAATTTTTCGAAAATACTATAAAAAGAAACTCAATTTTTTACATAAAAAACAAACTACCTATAATAACTGAATTAATATTTACACTGACTAACAAACTATACATACAAAAATTTATAAAAAAAACTCAAACATTTACAAAGGAATAATAGGTGGAGCAATATTTATAAAACTGCAACAAACGGTCACTATTTTGTCCAAGGTACTGATTTTTTCTGTATCATTTCCTTTTTTTAGCATACTTATTGGTATTGTTCCTTTTAAAATATTAAATTTATTTTTAATCGTCCCAATAATCCTTTCAACATGTATTCTTACATGTGCTATTTTTCTGGTATCTTCAATTTCAATAGGATGTAACTGATTTTTACCCTTAGTAAAAGCTGGTATAATTAATTTTGCTTGTAACACTTGCAAAGTGTCTTGTATTAAAAATCCTCTATCTGCCAGCACTATATCCCCAGGATTTATGTAGCTACAGAAATTACTCATTTCTACGATTTGTTTGTCAGAAGCTCTACCACCCCATACTGCACTGATATAACAAATGAAACCGTGTGGTGTAATACCAATTAGAATTTTAACTGTGCTGTGATGCTTATAGTTGGACCAGCACTGTTGTTGTGGTCATAACAGGAGGCTTTTCAATAAAAATCTCGAAACAATCAATAATGACTGTAGTCTTCTCATGAAAATTTTCTTTAAAACAAGATGGTATGTTTTTTTGAGCTGCATCTCTATCTGGCCACTTGATAAGGATCTTAAACCGTTTATATAAAATATCAATAATGTTTTCAAAATATTTCGTTGCAGTTGAAGGTGAAATTTTAAAATGATATGCCAAGTCCTTAAAATGTGGATTTAATCTTAATTTAATCAAGACTAGTAATAACTGATTAAATGGGCTTAGGACTGTGGTACTTGTTGAGGAAATACAAGGCTCAACAAATTTAAAAATTAATAAATTCACGATTGTGTACTGGAACCCTGTATAGTATTTCCACTTCTCGTTGTTAGAAATTTCTTCCACTAATCCATAAGGTGAGTCCTGTATTTTCTCGTTAAGAGCATCTATTTTTGCTGATGCAAAATGTAACTGTTCAAATTTCACATCAAGTTCGGTCATTGTTAAATCGGTTTGAACTGATATGCCTGTAACTTGTTCATTGTCACTGTTTTCATCATTACAGTTCAAAGCCACATCACTTTCAAATTTCTTTTCCTGTAATAAAATATAAATATTTATTTCACATCTTATTTAACTGTAGGTACATTTGTATTATATTACTCTAATATACTTACATAAGATCTATCACGCTTCCTTTTCTTATCTAGCCTTTCTTTTCTTTCAATATCTCCAGGTTGTTTAACAAATTTCTGAGCAGTATGACCCATATTCTGAGATGGAACCCAATCAGGATGATTTTCATCTTCTAAACTAGCAGGTTTGCCTTGCAAAAGTAAATAAAATAAATTATTTTTCTAATCTAAGTAGGTAGGTATGTTTAAAAAATATTTTATATTTATCTACCCTACCTGTTATGAAATGATGGCTACAGACTCTTTGGTATTTAATTTTAGTTTCTGTAAGATCATCCCGTTTTATTGCAGCTAACCATAAGTTTCTACGCTTCCGAGATAATTCATTTTTATTTGTTAAAAATTTATTATTTGTTATGGCAGGAACACAATAAAATTTTACTTTATCACGATTAGATCGATTTCCACATCCAACTACAATACAAGTAATGGGCATTTTAAGTAAAATAATACCTATAAAAATAGTCAACAGCAAAAGAACCACTAGAAATAACAAAAAAGACTTTAAAAAATGTATATAAACACAGGTATAAATGGCTCTAACAGCAGTGGTTGCCCTCAGCGGCCATATTGGATCACGTGGTTTGGATTGCCTTATTGATACCAAGTCGCCAATTGATAAATGCTGGTAAGTACATAATCAATCGCATATACAGGATGTCTGTAAAAGGTCTTTACAGAAACATACCACATATTCCTTAAACCCAAATAAGTCGATTTAAGTAAAATTACATTAGTACAAAGTTGCTTCGTTTGGGCTCCAGAGGGCCTTGAAGTTACAATTTTTAAATCGTTTTTCCCATATAAATTTAAAACGGCAAATTGCGATTTTGCTAAAATTTGGTATATTAATAGAGTTTTATGTGGCAAAAAAATGGTATTAAAATTTTGTCCGATAATAATACATAGGCGTAGAACTTGATTTTTTAAATAATTGCACCCTTAAAAATTCTACGCCAATGGCAGAAAAGGAGTTTAAGTATGAAATTTAGATTGTGCAACTCATTTACTTTAAAAAAGGTACTCTTGATAAGACTCGATTACTCTCATGGTTTTCGCTAAATTTCTGTTTTAATAATTTAGAGTGTATAGGTTTCACAAAAATATTTATTTACAACATAATCAAAATAGAAATTTTACAAAAATTGTTCAAAATGTTCACCATTTTCACGCATACAAAGATTTATACGTCGAAGAAAATTAAAATGTATCCTTTCCATAACTTCTTCATCACCTCTAAGATTGTTTATTGCATCTTGAATACGTTGCCAGAGTTGTTCCTCATTTTCTACAGGTTCCCTGTAAACTGTGAATTTCAGATGTCCCCATAAAAAGTAATCCATCGGTGTTAGGTCTGGGGAACGTGGTGGCCAGTTTACAGGTGCGTCATTACCTCTGCCTATCCATTTGTGTGGATATTGTTCATTCAAGTGGTTTCTAACGTTTAAAGAAAACTGTGGTGGAGCTCTATCTTGCATAAACCACATATCTCTCCGAAGTTGGAGAGGTAAATCTTCTAACAATTCTGGCAACGTATTTTGTAGAAAATCCAAATAATTTTTTCCAGTTAATCTTCGTGGAAGTATGACAGGACCCATAATGAAATTACCAATTATTCCAGCCCACACATTAATTTTTAATTCGTGCTGAAAATGGTTTACCTTTATTGCATGCGGATTTTCAACGGCATAAACATGTTCATTATGGGTATTAGTTAAAGTCTACTTAAATCGCCAAGGAAGAAAAGTAGCACGCTTTCGGGAAAATATGCCGGGTAAAGATTGGGTTAAAACGTTTTCACGTCGTCATAAGGACCTTACAGCGAGGCTATCATCAAACATAAAAAGAAATAGAGCAGCGCTTCATGAAGACCAAATGAGAGAATACATTCAAAATTTAAATGAAACATTAAGTAACGTTGAACCACAAGCTATATTCAGTTACGATGAGACGAACCTTACCGATGACCCCGGGTAAAAGAAAGTTATAACCAAACGTGGTGTGAAATACTCGGAGCGAATATGTAATTCCTCAGAAAACAGCATCTTACTAATGATAGCAGGGAATGCAGCCGGGGAGCTTCTCCCGCCATGTGTGGTGTATAAGTCCAAGCACTTGTGGGATAGAAGGACTGAAAATGGTCCACCAGAGGCGCGCTATGGAAATACTTCATCTGGATGGTTCGAATCCCAAACTTTTGCAGATTGGTTCAACACTATTATGCTGCCAAGGCTGAAAAAAATTGAAGGGAAAAAGGTGCTCATATGGGACAATTTATCCTCACACATAAATGTCTTAGACTCTTGTAGAAAAAATGACATTCATTTCGTTTGTTTGCCACCTAATAGTACGCACGTAACTCAACTCCTAGATGTGTCTATATTTGCACCATTAAAGAGAGCGTGGCGAGAAATTTTATCAGGGTATAAAGAAACGCAATTAGGAAGTAGATCAAATGTCCTCGAGAAGCAGCTTTTTCCAGCCTTATTGCACTCTTTGATGATGAACATAAGAGAAAACTCCTGTGAAGTTTTAAAGGCGGGGTTTAAAAAATGCGCCATCGTGCCTTGCGATGTGACTCCGCTATTGGAACGATTCATTTCGACTCACCAGTATAAAATAAGAACAAGTGACGTGGTAAATGATGATTCTTATACCCCACGATCGCCTAACATTGAACATTCTTTTATTCAATACTTAGAGAATAAAAGACAGGAAGCCACACAGTTTACCACTCGTGGAAAGAAAAAAAGTTAACTATTCCCCCCGGGCAACGCATTGCTCATTCTGAAATTCAGCTTACTGATATAAATCAACCAACATGCTCTATACTGCAATACTAAGGAAATTGAATATACTTTGGAAGATCTTTCAAATGAAGGTAGATAATCTGATGAGCATTAACCACAATTCGGAGATTCATCAGATGATAAAATCGATGAAGTACAAGAATTTGAAGACGAGACTGAGTTTAATCTAAAACTTGCATCGGGTACTTTGGGATTAACAAATGTTGCAAAGATTAAACAAAGCGGATTAAAAGATATTACAAAAACTATTGGTCAACATGTTTTATTTATTTACGAAGAAGATGTATATCCCAGAGTTATAACAGCTTTAGATAAGGACGGAGCTATGATTAATGCTATGGTGAAGTCGTTAAAATACTGGAAATGGCCCGAAAAAAAAGACGAATTATGGTACACCTGGGACAAAATAATCGGTGCAATAAATCCACCCAAGAAAATGTCGAAGCGTGGCTTATATTCTGTCCCAGAATGTGATAAGTTATGGTGGGAGTGATGTTTACTTGATAGGTTTCAATTTTGTACAATGTCAGAGCTAAACGAATTATTTTAACCCTTTTTTGTAAGCAATAAAGAAAAAAACATTAAAAATGCCTATTTGGAATGCAATTTAAAAAATATAGTTGTAGATGTACTGTATATTTACGGTGGCGCAAAGTTAGTGTTTACGCAGTATTTCATGGCACCAATAGGGGATTACTGCGTGAAAATAATGTAAATGCTAAATGGTGCAAAGTATGGCCATTCTAAGGTATACTTTGCATCACCATTTAAATTAGTTTTTTGCTTTTATAGAGTAACTAATCGGCTCAAAAATGTACTGAAGATCATTTCATAAGCTGTACAATGGTTACCAATTATCAAATAATAATTAAATTACTTTTAAGTACTTTTTAGGCATTATTAAAAAATTTACGTCAAAAAGTGGTGCAAAATAACCCCACTTTACGGTATATAACAAAAGTTATTGCTTCCTTATTGCAAAGGCTTTTAACTCTATTATGTGGAAATTAGCTTATGTATTCTGTAGAAATGGTTAGGGAACAACAAACAGTACATTAACCGACACATTACGCAAAATAAAGATGAAACGCATAATTATATTTCGAAGTGAGCGATAAAAAGAGAGAAATTGGTTTAACCACGCCCTTTCGTTGGCAAGAATGTTGGCAACGTATTTTTCTATTTCGTCCTATTTAACAGGATTGTGTTTCTATACCTTTCTTCTAGAGTCAGGATAAGAAAATTAACGTATTTTATAGCTTCTGTTCTATGTTTGTTGTCAAAACATGGCTTACAAACTAGCACTACGGAAAAGTATTTATAATTTGGTTGGGCAAATGACCAAACGCGATGTTCCGAATATCTACCGGAATTAAAATGTATTCGAAAAAAACAATTTACCGAACCATAAGGGATTGTAAGGAAGGTATTCCTTGTATTATACTTTCTAAAAGTGCAAAAAAACATCAACCAGAAAATTTCTTCAAAGATTAATGACATTACACATGACTGTGATTGGAAATATAGCTAATAATGGGTTAAACTATAGAAAATTACAAACATTTCCCCGGGATGTTGTAAAGGTCTCAGACGTTGACATGTTACTAATAACAAAGTCATTGTAATGGATGACGAAAAATACTTTCTAATGCAGAGATGAAAGGAAATTTGGCAAAAAATATGTACCCACGTTAAATGATTAACTGTAGCAAATCAACAAAGAATGCGTTATGCAAATTTTACATAAGAATTTTAACATGAAAAATATGCAAAAATAGTGCCCAAAATTCTCACAGTTCAACAAACAGAAGCTCGTAAAAGATTTGTAGTGTCATTTGAAAAGGCCCAAACTTCTTGGAATTAGTGATAACATGTGATTAATCTCTGCTATTTAAATAATCCTATTTACCTGAGGTAATTCTTGTTTTTTCTTCATGTGAAGTCCTCCACCAATTCTGACAAATCCAGGCCCTAAAGGCTTTACGTTAAAAACAGGATGAGAATTGACAAACACCAAACTAACATTCCTTATAATTTTATTAATGGGCGGATACCCGTCTCCAAAATGCCTTTTCACTAATCTATCTTCTTTAAACGTTTCATAAAAAATTTGGTCGAGAAAGAAATAGAAGTGGTAGAAAGTGCTTATTAATCTATCTTGAAAATTTAAATTTATTTGCTGCGGCAAAAACGTTTCTGGATATAGCACTGGATGCAAAGCGTTTCCCAAAGCTTGATGATAGAAATTTCCTATTTCCGCGGAAAATATTGAGATATATGGACAGTTGAACCTCACTGAGAATGCACTTAATACTTGAGGAATATACTCCATTATAAGTAAATCAAATTTTTCTGTTTCATTATTTATCAATGTTACTACCTCTGGATGGTTTAGCTCATTCTCCACTATATCTTCAAGCATCCGTCCGTAAGAGTTCCATACTTTAATATAATCTAAATTATATTCTTGCATCTTCATAGTTATGTTGTGTTTTACATGTCTGATTTGATAAGAAAAATGTAAATCTATTTGCCGAATATTATTTGGAACATCTTCAATAGGATCGGTAGTAAGAAGGGTTAAGTGGTGGCCTCTTTTAGCCAACTCTAACCAAATCGGTCGATAAAACAGTTGATGACTGTAAGAAGGTATACCTGCGATTCCTAAAATTCTAGCACTCTTTGATTCTTCCAGGAAAATCACTAAAATTAATAAAATTGGCCGTAATACGGGCATTTTGTGTAACTAATTGAATGACAATACATACCAGGCTCGATTTTATTTGTTATTTAGTATGAGTTTAGTGATAAAAACGAAGAATAATATTTATTTTTATCGAAAGATTATCATTAAAAAATAATAATTGTATAGCATCTCGTAATGTAAGGATTTTGAACTTAGATTCTTTGTCATTTCATAAAATATGGCCTTGTATTTATATAGTTTTATCATTGCATCGTCAATGTCATTTACGGTATAAACCAGAGGTTTTCAAACTTATTTAAGCTATCACCACATTTTCAGAACAAAATTCAAAAGACGCTTATCCTACGGGCAAAGTCATGGCATTAAAGGAAACGAGAAACGACTTGATTTTGAACGAAAGGCGATGATAAATATTGTGACGATGAATTTATGGTTTGTGAATTACTTAGGCTAAACCATGTAGAGGATCTTCATTAGCCTTGATTTTTAAGAATCATTCAATATCGCCTTTTGAGTAGAATTTATGTTTTATGTAAAAATATTTGGACTCTTTACCCGTTTCTTTGTTTATCTAAAAATATTTAATACCTTTAATTTTTAATCTTGTTCATGTAAAATTATTTGGTATCTTACCCCTCAAGCATGCCCATATAAAAATATTTTTACCTTTTGCCTCTTAAGCTTAGTGATGGAAAAAAATTTGGGCCTGTCACGTAAAAGTAATATTTGGTTCTAATATCAAATTCAGATACGAGTTCCATTCTGGAGTAAATTAAAGGTCGTGCAAAAATTATCGTTACTTCATCATCCTGTAAGCTATTCGCGTAAGATCTACATTTATTTAATATTTTAAAACTATTCCTTTATCCACTTTCACTTACAATAAATAACTACTCAAATAGTATACCGGGTGAAAATGAGACCAGGGCCACGTTAACATATCTTTTGTTTATCAAATTTGGGACAAACCTACTAGATAATTTTTAATTTACACCTTATACTTAAACAAAATAGCCGACTTCCGGTTTTACCGGAAATAGTAGTTTGTGCAACAAGAGTGGATATAATGGCCATAACGCACGAATACAAAATTAGTACTACGCCGTAGGGTCCAATTTAGAAAAATCATGTAAAAAACAAAATATAGAAATCGATATCGCAAACAACTTTTAGTTCAACAATTTTCATAAAAATCAGAATTTTGCACATTTTGTCAAATTTCTCGAATACGGACCATTTCAGGAAATTTTGACAAAACAAAAATTATAGATAATAATATTAGAAGTAACTTTTATTTGAACAATTTTCTTTTCCAAACATAAATAATAGATATATTCCATAAAAAAACGACCTCCTATAAAGTTCCCCCCCAGATGTTCCGACTTTTTTCAAAATCTAATCATTTCACCTCAGGCCGAAATAAAACTGGTGAAATTTAATGTTTTTTCCTTTATCCGTTTTTGAGTTTTGTTCAAAATTTACACATTTTCTCAAATATCTCGAATACGGTCCATTTTTGAGAAATTATGGGTAGGATAAAAATTACAGAGAATAATGTTACAAACAACTTTTATTTGAACAATTTTTATAAAAAATTATTTTTTTACATTTTGTCAAATTTCTCGAACACGGACCATTTTATAAAAATTTTGTATAAAACAAAAATTATAGATAATAATATTGTAAGTAACTTTTATTTAAAGAATTTTCTTTTCTAAACGTAAATAACAGATATATTCCATAAAATATATATAAAAAATCTAATCAGTTCATTAAAGGCTGAAGGCTGGAATAAAGCTTAAGTTAAAAATTTGGTGTTTTTCTTTGTATCCGTTTATGAGTTATCGAGGATACAGACACACACACAGACACACACACACACGCACGCACGCACCCACACACACGCACGCACGCACCCACACACACACGCACGCACGCACGCACGCACGCACGCACGCACGCACGCACGCACGCACGCACGCACGCACGCACGCACGCACGCACGCACGCACGCACGCACGCACGCACGCACGCACGCACGCACGCACGCACGCACGCACGCACGCACGCACGCACGCACGCACGCACGCACGCACGCACGCACGCACGCACGCACGCACGCACGCACGCACGCACGCACGCACGCACGCACGCACGCACGCACGCACGCACGCACGCACGCACGCACGCACGCACGCACGCACGCACGCACGCACGCACGCACGCACACACACACAGACATCATCGCGAAAATAGTCAAAACGGATTCAAGGGATCCTAAAATGTAAAAATCCGTCAAAAACTCGAGCTCGAAAAAAATCATGATTCCTATACTTTCCTTATCTGTATACAGATAGGAAAGTAAAATGAATCAATCTTGTAAGTAATAAATAATAGCATTTCTATTTTTATTTCGTACACATTAAGAAATAAATCTTAAATGTTAATCAAACTATATGAAACTAATTTAATTGCTAGTATTAAAATTAAAATCGTCAGTGTGGCGGTGGGCTGGGGACATGTTTATTTATTGTATAAATTAGTAAAAGTCATAAATTATTTTAAAATTAGTTATTTTATCTTAATAATCTAAAATAGTTTTTTAAATTTGTAGATTTTCGTTAGTGGTCGTAGAAAAAATATACTCTACAACTCGAGTGGATTATGCATTTCCAACATAACATCAATGTTTTATGAATATACTAAGAACTTTCTGTTTAAGTACCTATAGGTATGTCCTTTTTAGAATATTCTTAGAATATGCCTAAAATATAACTTGAAAGTATGTGATTTAAAAATATATTCTAAAAAGTATATACTGAGTACGTGCCTCAAAAGAATATTCTGAGCACGTTCTTTAACAGGACATTCTTAGAAGATACTAAAAATCGTTTACCCAGCATATACCTCATATTCTGAGAAAGTTCAAAATGCATACAGGTAAAAATTAACACCTAAGAATAAAAAGATCTGATGTGTCCAACACATGACTTTCCTATCTAGTCATTACAGACATTTTTTGTATACAGAGATAGTTTTCCTTACCTCTATACACTCCATAGTTTTCATGCAGCTATAAGTTCAAAGGAGTACAATTGCAACTCAATAACAAGAGACCAACTATCTGAGGCTTATTTGTGGGGTTAATTGAAAATAAAATATGTTAATTTTAACTTTTAATAATAATTTTTGGCACCAGTAAAAAAACCGAGTAACTAACTAAGCAGGTATTTAACTAACTTAACAAATTTACAATAAAACTGAAACTAACATTATACTTAAATATAATAAAAAGAAAGGAATTACAGTTTGAATATTCCCATCAGCACGAGCAAAGCTTCTAGGAAAATCATCATTCAAGTCAGCAATAACGTAAGCTACAGATGCCCAAAGAGCTGTAGCTTTGTCTAACGCATTTGGATCTAAAACATCCATGGTGTCTGCGTTGGTGTGATGGAACCAAAAATATTTGCCATTATCGTTTAAAAGGCTTCCAGTAGGTATTACATCTTTCCATATAGTTATATCGGATCCAACGCCACCTTCTTCTGATCGTTTGGCAGTTGCGGCATTTATCGGACTTAATAATCTACAAGTAAATAACAAAATATGAAATGTTAATTTTAAAAAATTACCAAAGTTTAAGCGTAATGTCGTGTCTATGTAATAACAGTTATTTGTGAAAATAAACGTCTTTTAACCTTGAACATTTAAAATTTTCTATCTCGCTCTACTAATTTTTTTTTATATAAAACAAAGAAAGGAATAATTTATTTTATACAAATAAAAAAAATCACTGGTTTATTCGGTCAATAGTTATTATTTTTTTTAATAAAATTTAAGCACAGGCACTACATATTTTTCGGAAACACTGTTCTGGTTCCAGTCAATATTTAATAATTTACTTTTTGAAGGACCAAATTATTATTTCGAATAATGTATGAAAACCTCATAAACAAATATTTACAAATCAAATTTAACTATAAATTAACCAGCTATAATTCAAATAAATTGAAACCCCCCAATCTCAGTTTATTTGAATGAAAACCTTATAAACAAATATTTACAAATCAAATTTAACTATAAATTAACCAGCTATAATTCAAATAAATTGAAACCCCCCAATCTCAGTTTATTTGAATGAAAACCTTATAAACAAATATTTACAAATCAAATTTAACTATAAATTAACCAGCTATAATTCAAATAAATTGAAACCCCCCAATCTCAGTTTATTTGAATGAAAACCTTATAAACAAACTACACCTTCACACGCTGTGAAACAGAAAGATAGGGTTTTTGTTTATTTAAAAAAAAAATTAAAATGTTTGTAATCGTCCCCATATTTTATTAAATATTGACTTGCATCAGAAGATGGTACAGTGTTTCCGAAACATATATAGTGCCTGTGCTTAAATTTTATAAAAAAAATAAAAACTATTGACCAAATAAACTAGTGAACTTTTTATTTATATAAAATTCTACTACGGTCAGGAAATTATCCTTATTCAAGTATGTAATAAATTATATTAAGTTAGTAACACCAATAGAGATGTAGTCAAAAAATTTATAATCTGTTACAGTATTATGAAAATATATTTTTTACATAAACATCTTAAAAACGACGAATTTGTGATTTTGAGAGTGGATTTAGAACAAAAGCCCTCTTAAGTGTGTAATTTTGCAACTAGTTTTATTCTTAGTATGTGTTTACTGCAGTTGCTTGTTTTATTTGAAGAGATTGCAAATATAGTACTAGAAGTAGTAAGGCTAAAAAGGTGTTTCAAAATTTCTACATTCAACCAATTCTCATGACATAAGATACCCATGGTTACACGTACTCAAACTAGAAGATGACGGATAGCAAAATCAAATATGAAAGTGTTGTATGTATTTTTTAACATATAAAGTGAATTAAATTAATGTTGTTGCTTTATTTAATAACAATTGTGTGGTTTAGCTTCTTCTGCATGATGTAATATGAAAAATGGGAAAATTACTAATGTCTGAATTCATGTAGGTACAGCAAATTATATCTCTGTATCTGTAACGTGTGGAGGGTGGGTTACTCCACGGCACTTAGGCCTCATTAGGTCCATTGTGCATCCTTCTGAAAATGTAAGCACCTCCTAGCTCGTGAGGCAGCCTACAGATTTAATGTAGGTGACAACGTCGCCAAGAGGTGCTTCTCTTATATCGGCCGGTGTTAGCCGATACTCGCCGAACACAAATCTTCTAATAAATGAGAGCGTCTAGCAATCATAAAGGATATGCTCGATGGTCTCATCTTCTTGTTCGCACCCTCTGCAGAGTGCGGATTCTGACAGCCCCATGATATGGAGATGCTTTCGTACTTGGCAATGCAGAATGCCTGTGACTAGGCGCAGATTCTGTCTAGTCATAGTAAAGTATTTGTTTGCTGCAGTGTTGAATTTCACAAGGGAATGTTCTTTGATTAGGTCTGTCACTGCCTATTTTCTCAGGCTAATAGAAGGGACAGGTCCAAGAAGTATTTGGTTGGCTGCTTTTTTGGCTAGTCAATCAGCAAGACGGTTACCTTTCGATGTGGTGTGACCTTTAATCCATCTTAAGGTGACCACGTTGTTGATGGATACTTCGATCAAAGCTTCGTGACATTCTAGTACTAACCCTGAATAAATTCGTGGTCTGTTCAGGGTGAGTAGTGCTTGTCTACTATATCTGTATAGATGAGTATGTTCCTTCCAGTAATATTGTTTCTGGTTATTTCTTTTGCTGCTATGAGAATCCCCGTTAGCTCTGTTTGAACTACACTGGCACTATTGCTCACATCCCATTTTATGTTTAGGTTTAAGAATCTGGAGTATATTCCACATCCTGAGCCTTTTTTGTTTTAGAACCGTCGGTGTAGATATGAATAGTACCTGCCACTTCCGGCTCTTCTATTTGTTCTATTATAACTTTATATGGCTTATGAAAGATATATTTCGGTGAGATGGAGTCCATGTTCGCTTGAAGCAGTGGGAGCGTATATATATATATATATATATATATATATATATATATATATATATATATATATATATATATATATATATATATATATATATATATATATATATATATATATATATATATATATATATATATATATATATATATATATACCGGGTGTTCAAATTAAAGTGTTACAGTTAAATACCGCCAAAAATATGCATTTTAGAAAAAAAGTTTTAGACAAAAGTTTTATAGGGGAAACATTTTGGCTAAATTCATTTTTTTATAGCTGACCATAATATGGCCATATCGGGGTGAACTTTGTTTTTTAAATGGGAATCCCATTTTTTTCTTACATATTCTTAAAGTACATAAAAAAATAAGAAACTTTTGTGGGAAATATTTTTTTTATTGGACTTTTACTTTTTGAGTAACAGCTACTTGAAAATGTTGCTGCGCGAAAAAAAGTTGGCCATATTATGGTTAGCTATAAAAAACGATTTTTAGCCAAAAGTTTTTCCTTACAAAACTATAAAACTTTCGTCTGAAACGTTTTTTTTTATAAAAAGCGATATATAGCTGTAACGCTTTAATTTAGAACACCTGGTATATGTAAATATCAAGTGGAGTGAGACTAAGAATGACTTCCATCGCTCTAGTCAGTGTTGTTTTCATGGCTCCTGTTATGTTGAGACATGCTGTTCTTTGAATTTGTACTACTTTACGGTTAGCTGTTAATTCTTGGGTTTTTCGGTACCCAGACAACTGCACTGTATGTTAGCATAGGTCTTATGATAGCCGTGTAAGTCCATGCGACGACTCTGGGCGAATTATATGAACAAATGAATAAAAAAATCATGATTGTTAGAGAATATATCAGTTATTATATAGTAGCATATACAGTTAGTTTTATAGCAGTAGTAGCAAAAAAATGGTACCAATAAAAAAAACTTACTTTAATATTTCTTCTAATATGCATCCGCCAGTAGTACCAGCGACATAGTTAAGTCCTAAAGGAGTGAAAGTACCTTCATCTGATTCCATTACAAACACAAAATTGTCCAATTCATGTTCATGGGCGTTATTATACTCTTGGACTCCAATCAGACCGTTTTCTTCAGCTGTCCAAAGTACAGATCTGTAAAAAACAAATAATTGATAAAAATATCAAATTAGAAATCGTTTAAAAACAAATAAAATTGAGTTATAAAGTGTCATAATATAACGTGCCTCACAGTTCTTTTCGGTCTAAGACCAAGACCCTTTAGGACCACCAACGAGTACCAAGAGATAAAAGCACCTCCACCATCGTCCATAGCTCCTACTCCTACATCCCAGCTATCAAGATGACCTGACACCAACACTACTTTTTCTGGTGTTTTAGATCCTTTTACTTCAGCTACGGTATTCCTCGATAAACTGTCATTTAGTAAAGTGGACTGGAGAATTAATTTGAGACGAATGGTTTCGTTGCGGTCCTATAAAAACAGTGAATTTTTTTATTCAGATATTGGAACACCCTGTACATTTTTTGTTTATCCTGAATTCTCTTGTTTTTCTTTTTTATGTAAAAAATGTTTATTTGTAGAATGAAAAATTGCACAATAACGTGAACAAAGTCGAATTATTGCCTGTAATTTTGAAATAATTTTGTTTACATTGTTATTAATTGTAAGGAACAAATACATTGGCTTGCGTGGATTTACTTTAAATTTTTACTTTGCAGCTAAGTAAGGTAAGTTAATGAGTTTCAAATTAGCTATAATCAAAATAAAATCTACATTTATTTTGAATTTTATACTACAAACTTCGTGGACCTTTATTAAATAGGTAATCCTAATACATATACATACAATTTATAAATTTTGAACAGCTATTAATTACTTTATAGTAATTATAGTCATGTCCGTGATAAGTACGCATTGAATTAAATTTAAACTGACACTTAAAACGCTTCGACAAACGTGAATTTTAGCAAGGCCTGCCTGCTCTAGAAACATTTTTTGTGGATCACTCCATATATTAATTACTTGTAAATAATATAAAATAAATTCGAAATAAAAAAATTATATAAAATATATAAAAGATAAAAGACGGATGTCCAAAATCAATATACATGTGCGAGTATCTTCAGACACTCTTTAGACTTCTACATAAAGCCTTTTTATCTTAGACAATTTTTCCAACTTAACTTGTAAATTAACAGGTTAGGTGCCACAATAATGAAAATTTAAAGGTCCCCATGGGCCGATCACTTTTTATTATAAAACAGCAAACCTGTTTTAGTTGTGAATATTATCAGCCATGTGAGTCCCATAGAGTTCTAGACCCTTTGGCCAAGCCCAAAACACTCCTGTGTATTTTAAAGGGGTTCAAGAAGCCTACATGGAGCTAAACAACATTTTCTGATGAACTAGCATGTGAGTCAACGTCGGACTCACGCAGTGTGTACTGAAACTCGAGTCGAGTAAGTTCCCATTCTGTATGCTGAATCGGAACCTGCTAGACTCATCTTTTTGCATCCGCTGCAGGGTCCTTAGGTGATAACATTCCTTAAATATTTTCTAAAGGGCACGAAAATTGACATATACCTAATCATCATTCTCGGACTCACGCGGCTCGTATATCACTTTTATAGGTGAGTCCCTGTTGGCTTCTCATGGCACTTAAACTGTTTAACACATTTATGGAATTACCTGATATCTCTGAAACAAATGTGCATGTTCAACTGTTATTGAAGCAGCTGGGATTTTCGTGACATTTTTATCATATTGGGTTTGACCAGTATGTAATGTGTTCATAGAAAATGGTGTCACAGATCTAACAAGCACAGCCACAGCACCGTATTTAGCGGCTCGAATAGGTCCTTGACTCCTGTATGCCACAGAAATACCATACGATTTAAAATCGTTGTTAAAAATTACAATTTTTCCTTGTACCGAAGCTGACTGAGCTTCAAGTTCGTCAAAATTTCTAAAAACAACCGCATCCGCTTCTATTCCCGTTTCTTTGGTGGAAATTGAACCGCCAAGGGCTAGTACTGGAATGTCAGCCATACGGGGTTTAATCATTTGCCCTGATTCCACGCCTCTGAAAATAAATAGGTAATGAAAATTAAAAGAATACGAACCCGTATTTGAAAGTAAAACTCCAATTCATTAAAGAAAAGTACAAACGTAGAAACCAAATTCTGACTTCTCTATAATAATAATAATAATAATACTAATAATAAATATCTTTTTGATTCCCTTGATAACATTATACAAACAAACATTATACAAACATTATACAAGCATTATACAAACATTATACAAACATTACACAAAAATTATACAAACATTATACAAACATTATATAAACATTATCTAAACATTATACAAACATTATAAAAACATTATACAAACATTACACAAAAATTATACAAACATTATACAAGCTTTATACAAACATTATACAAACATTATACAAAAATTATACAAACATTATACAAACATTATACAAACATTATACAAACAAACATTATACAAACAAACATTATACAAACACTATTATAATTAATTGGAGGTTTATAGAGGAAAGGATTTATTAATCGAAAATATAAAATATAATAACTCTGATAATAGAAAATATGTCTGAAAATTCTTTTAAAATTAATGTCACAACTATCCAAAATAAATATGAGGGTAACTCAAAAATTATATAATACAAGGTGAGTTCAACTTATTTACAACAATTATACAAACGTTATACCAACATTATACAAACATCAAACAAGCATTATGCAAACATTATACAGTCTGTTCGCTATACTTGCGCGGGTTTCGGATTAAAAATTTCCAGTTAAGTACCCGAAAGTATGACCTGTTCTTTGGGGAAATATCAACTGGTTAAATGAAATGAAAAATAATGTACAACTTTTTAATTAAATAATAATGGAGAATCTTTTGTATAATTGAGAGCAGAATTAAACTTCTTCAATAATGGAGTCTAATGTGGCTATTATAAACCTAATAATAATTTTATATTACACTTCAGACACAAATTTAGTACCTACCCTAATGTTATTTTAATTTAAATCTGACCATTAGGGCAATTTTACCTAATTTTCTTGGGAAGGGGCTTATCGGAACTGGTTGTCAATGACTAATTTGCATAATTTTGTTAATCCGAAACCCGCGTAAGTATAGCGAACAGACTGTACAAACTTTATACGACATTGACATTGACATTATACAAACAACTTCTTAATGAAAAAAAAAAAAAAAAAAAAAATGGCGAAGTTCACTTTCCAAAGTGAAAAAGAAATCACTTTGAGAATGTTTTTCCACTTATCCCAATAATGGTGTCTATAGTGTATATAAAAAAGATTTAGGAATATTGAAAAATCTAAATATTGTTGGATGAAAAAATGTAATACGTGAAATAGGAAATAGTCAGGGCCACCGAGAGTCATGGTGGGGCCCCGGGGCAAAACACTGGCAAGGACCCGCCCCCCATATATTATACCCTATTTTTTAAAGCTGTCAGGCCTCCCCTGGGTCCGGAGATGTTGCTTTCCCTTCCCCCCCTCTCGTCGGTCCTGGAAATAGTTTTACAAAATTTCCACTTATTTTATTAAAACTTTCTTCGTAAAACAACTCCTGGAGTTTTAGAATTACCTTTTCCATCAAAATTACTTTTTTAAATATTACCATTTTAAAATTAGGAAACTATTTTTTATTATTCTGTAAAATGTTGTTTTTCTTACTTATTACCTATATTTTTCTTCAAGATATGCGATGTATTTATTTGTATTCAATAATCTGGGTTATAAAACACTAAAATTCATTAAACATAGAAATGTTTTAAATTTCCAGTTTTTTATTTGTTGAATTTTACAGCCCATCGTTAAAGTAGATTAGCGAGGTGTTAAGCACCGAGGTAAGCTACAAACACGAGACTTCCTATTTTATATAAGTTTGAAATAATATTATTTTTATTAATTTTTATGCTAATTTAAACAAAAAAATTAACGAAGATACCTGCGAGACCGTTGCTAGGCAACATAATAAGTTGATTGAATCTGATAGTTAGATAATTAGTTACATACTGAGTGGCATTTTTTAATAGTAAATAGTATATTACACACAGAGGTGGGAAGAGTTTCATTCCTGTCGTGAGATTAGTTAGATCACCGAGACGCGAAGCGTCGAGGTTAGCTTTGATCTCGAGACAGGAATGAAACTTCTTACCAAGGTTTGTATACTATTTTATTTACAACCATCATATTTCGATCAATGTTAATAAATCTCTGTTTCATTCTGAACATACCTAAAATATTACATTTAACGACAAATTACCAAGTGCGCGGTTTTCTCAGAATAATCAAGTAAATATATTGTTACTGTGATTACGGGGTAAACAACTGTCACCAATATAAATAAATGTCAGATAAAGCCGGATATTAAATTCGCGAATAATAAATATCAATAAGTAGTTTGTTGTATTTTAGTTCATTGTTGTTTTTTATTGTTTGTCATTAAATAGGTATTATAAAATTTGTCAAAAAAATGTGTTATTTTTTTTAAATATAAAAAATATTCATCTAGAATAGATGAAATGAGGGCGGGAAGTAGAGGTGTGTAATGTGACACTTCCCAACCTTCAATGACGTTAATAATGACAACATTACATATATGGTTGTAAATAAATTATCTTTATTTACTTGGAAATATGCGACAATTGCATTGAATGAACCCAACAAAAACTTGGAGTAGCTGCAGAAAATACTACATAAAGCATGTTTCCGGAAAAAAATGAGGGAGATATACGAAAACATTTAGAAAGCTATTTAGTGGAATTTGCCGGTAAGGAAGTGTCACACGCTAGCCGGGAAAGTAACTTTTCATTATACCTCTCTGAAAACACTATTTTTACATGACTATTTAGAGCACCGAAAATGCCTGTATTATCACAGCAGTGGTCAGATTGTTTAATTGTTTTTAAACATATTCGCTGTTATTTAGTTTTGTTAGGGCCGATTCCACCGTTGTGGTATGTAACGTGATCTCTAGTTATTCTATCTACTTGTATAATGTGTTTGAGCTCAATTGATTGGGTGTGGGTTAGGTTATTAAATAACTCGAATAACTTTGAAAAAGAACTTGGGCACCACTATATTTAAAGCTTACTATACTTGACTTCAGATTAGTGATAAAGATATAGAAAATCACTAACAACTAACAAATTATATTTAAACCATGCTTTAGATAAGGTAGTACCAAATTCTAATTCACATAGTTTTACTTAATTCAAATTTAAGATGATTTATTCAATTGCACTTATCTTTTGATAAAACGAGGTAATATAAGAAATGGAATGTTTTATTGCATGGTATATCTTCAGGCAACTTCTTCAAAGGGATTCGGGATCCTTGTTCGTAATTCCGCAACTTGAATGATCTCGTGATATTTGGTATTCTAACTTAAACTCGAATTTGTCTAGATCTTCTACAGATGAATCAAACCACGGTCTTCAGATTGTACCGAAACCAAAACAAACTGCTAGATATAAAAACCATAAAACTTCTTGATAGGAATTCAAATACGTCTAGATATAAATCCAAATAAACCGTCTAGATATAGTCATGCTAAAAAGAAAGGGTTAAAATGTTAAGACAGGAAATAGGAAATTTGAACAAGATTTAGATAAAATGCTTTAACTATTAAATGAACAATTTAAAACTATTTAATGAATAATTTCACAGAGACTAAAATTAATAGGAAAAGGAAAAATCTTATATACATATTTAAACATAGTAAAGCATAATATCTTATTCCAAAAAAATAATATACAAATTAATATAAAACGAAAATGTGTTATCCATTGTTGATATTGAGGTTATGTTCAATACTTGACAATTATTTAAGAAATCCTTGTATAAAATATATATTTGCAACAATATATTAGTATTAAAACTTACCTTATAGAATCAGACGGATTTTACGATAGATTAAAATCAATTAGTACATCGGATGGACAAGATATATTGAAATTCAAATCAACTTGATTCGTTGACATCTAAGTCAAAAATAATTCTCACAATATGAATCAAGGAAGAAGAAAACGACAAATGACATTTGAGTAGAGGTGATTGTGTCAAAATAACGAATAACGGTTCCAACCGTTACAGGTCAACGAAGTTTAAATTACTAAACGAAGATTGAAATGACATTGTTAATGTAAAAATGTTATTTTAATCTTCGATTAGTAATTTAAACTTCGTTTAATACAACGGTGGAATCAGCCCTTTGTAACAATAAACAACGCTTATATTATTATGACAGTTTTCATTTTTTTGAATTCTTGTTAAACATTCTTAAGATGATTTCTCCAGAAGAAAAATATCACTTGAAACGGCAAAAATTAGTGCGAGAGATATATTATGAAGAAGAGTATCATCTATTTTGCAAGTTGCTTCTGTTTTTATTTTCAGAGAGGTATAATGAAAAGTATCGTTCATTATATGTCCATAAATGCTTTTCTGGACACGTACCTGATGAAATATACTATTCTCGGCTAACTGGAAAGTGAAGTAAGCCAGAAGTCGCTTCCCGACTGTTTTGAATGATACATAACCACAGATTACTAACTGATTGTGAGTAAAATGTTTGAACAGGAATTTTAAAGAGCCAAATAGCAGAAGGAAATTAATTATATGGAAAAATGGATGAATCAATATTTGTTGTTTGTTTTATTTTTTATCGAATAAACATTTATATCGTATTATATTTGTAAATAATTTAAATCAAAACTTTCATCATACTATCTCCCATTACAAACATGATAAATATAAAATAAAATGAATATGACCATGAAGTGTTAGCCGTGACGGATTCGAGATCTTAATCCCTACTGTTTTTTAGCGCTAAATATAAATGTCGACTTACGCCCATTTGACTTGCGAAGTACAAAAGATGCAGGCGAAAGGCAAGTAGCTTGTATTGAATAAGCTGTGCCCGGAGTAAGGGATTTGAAAATTTGGAAATAGCATTTTTTAAATTCGAAAATTTCTTGCATCAAAACTGTTGAGATTGACCAAAACGATTTCC